ATTACATGTTGGTCGTCTAGTTGAATGTCGTGTGTTATCTGTTGCTACTAGACGGCCACGACCTGAACAATTGGACAGTGCAAATCCAACAAAAAATGAAATTAACGGTTTATGGATGTGCCCATTTTGTCAACAAGACAACTTTCAATTACTCAATCACGTAATGTTTGCAATCAGATTTTTTATTGTATATATATATATATATATATATATATATATATATATATATATATATATATATATATATATATATTGTTACCTAAATTTGGATATTTTTATCGCATACCACCAATTTGATCGACATAATTGCATAGTTGATGGTCTGATTACCTTAATTTTTTTTTTAGGTTTGGAGTCATTTTGATAATAATGAATGTCCTGGACAACCAGTGGGATTAAGAGTTCAATTAGACAATGAAATTGATGGATTTATACCATTAAAGTTTATGGATTCTCCAGATAAATTATTTGAACGAACTCAACCTGGTTCGCTTATACAATGTCGAGTAACTAAAATTGACATAACACGATTTAATGTGGAACTCACTTGCAAGACAACAGAATTAAAGGTATATTTCTGTGAATATTTAAGTATTGAATTTCTTTTTTTTGTCAAATAGTATTAAAATATTATCTCTTTTTCAAAAATTACTCACATTAATTAATTTGTTTCTTATTTCTATAGGATGAACGTCATATATGGCGTCCACGTCAAGATGCTTTTTATGATTTTGAAAAAGAAGAGCAAGATCTACGCTCTGAAGAAGAAGCAATGGCTAAAGCTAAAGCTAAAACTAATCCATACATGTCTCGTTTAATATTTCATCCATATTTTAAAAATATTAGCTATGATCAGCTGGCTGCAATGGAACCGGAATTAGAGCCTGGCGCCATTATCATTCGTCCAAGTAGAAAGGTAACCAATAGTATTTAGTATATTAAATAAATTTTCTATTTTGTAATGATGAAATATTTTGTTGTTTTTATAAGTAAATAATATGGACAAAATTTCAAGTGGTTTTGGTTTATACTATACCCGGATATAAAGTCGTTTGCATTGGCGTAGATATATCCATTCTTTATGTTCTCTCAAGTTCTAATCTTCTAAATTCCTCATGATCTTTTTTTCTCTCTTTAAATTTATTTCACTGCGATGTACACCCACGAATCATATCTTCGACTTCTAATCTTTTCGATTACCACTAATATTACTACTACCTGTTCTACTTTCGGATTCAAATTGACAATACCATCTCCGTGTGCTAATGTGTTATGGTAACTTGAACTGATGTACGTACGTATCAAGTTCTATCTTGTTGCTGACTGACTAACTGATGACCGAATAAAGTGTCTTTGTTTTATCATCAGTAGTTCATAATTCAGTCAGTCAGTTACATCGTAGAACTTCGTACGTAAATACATAAGTTCAAGTTGCCATACCACATTAGCACAGAGAGGCTTTTGTCAGTTCAAATCCCATAGTGGTGAAGGCAGTAGAAGAATAAAAGGTAAAGCAGAATATTAGGGATCGAAGAATTTATTCAAGAAGTAGTATAATCAGATGAACTTAACAAGTAATGAGGAATTCAAAAGGTTATGATTTGAGAGAACATAGTTGCAAACGGTTTTGAGCCATGTCATTCAGGGTCTGTAACCATCGATTACTATCATCTCGCGGGCCCCAACCAGGTAGTCGACACCTACCAACATGGCTCAGTCCAGTTGTCAGTCACTTCATGGATTTCTGCAATGTTTCGGTTTGGCCGCCCCTAGCTTTCTTCCACCCTAATCCTATTTCACAAAACATAGCTCGTCGAGGCAGTTGGTGGTTGGTCATACATAACACATTTCCCAACCACCTCAACTAATGGATTTCCACTACTTCATCAATTGATTGCCATCCTTACCTAGTACTCGATTTCTAAATATAGCATTACTTACTCGGCTGTCCCAGGATATACAAGCAATGCTTCGAATACATCCATAATGGAATATTAGTAACCTAGGAATATCTTTTATTCTTACTGGTCATGTTTCGCAGCCATAAAGTAGGACGGAGTGAACTGCTTCACACTAGACTCGTCCTTTGGTTAGCAAACGGATATCTCGTCTACGCCATGAGTGATATAAGTTGGCGAAAGCTAGTCTAGCCTTCTCTATTCGTGCTGATTTTTCGTCAATCACCAGCCGATCAGCTCTGATGATACCCCATATACATGAAGCGGTCAACACGCTCAACTGCTTCACTCCATATCACTAGTTCAGGCACAAATACTAGGTAATCTTGAAGTAACATTTTGCATTTGGACGGGGAGAATCGCATCCCGAACATGGTTGCATTGTTGTTTAGGGTAGTCAGGAGACACTGCATTTTATCAGTCTCCACTAAGTAGAAGTATGTCATCGGGATATTCTGTCAACTAATGAATCTCCTGGTAGAAGGTCTACTCCTGAAAATGCAGACGAAGATAATGTTATATCTAGAAGCAACGCTGTGACGAAATTAAACAAAAACGGAGAAAATGGACATCCCTTACGGACACCTCTTGAAGTGAAGAATTCTGATGACAGTTTGCCATAAACTCACTCGACCTTTAGTGTTTGAGTAGAAGGCTCGTATAAGGTTAATGTACGTCTTTTGTACACCTTTCAGTGATAGACACTGCCTCATAACCTCACAATCAACAGGTAGATAGTTCATTTAGAATCTTAACAAAAGTTAGATTTAGTTTAAGTTGCCGCTTCCAAAATTTACTAAGTCCTAGCTTCGTATATCTCCATTTATAGTCTAATATATAAAAATACAAAATGTGAACATTATCTTTAATGTGAATACTATTCATAATGAATGTATAGTATTCTGCTGGGAATCAAAGACATACTTTGTAAAATAAAATATGTGAGTTTTGTTCTGGAGGTTATGTAGAATTCCACCCAAAAGTTAATATGACTGTGTTATGGCCTATATTAAAAAGAATTAATCAGAGAAGTTTTTCAGTCCTATGTCTATTACTGAATGGAACTTATTTTGTTACTATCAGTGATGATTTTATGATCATAAAGCACTATAAGACGATCATTACATCTAAAAATTTCTACCAAGTGTAAGTTAGCGTACTGCACTTAAATCCACCCCTACCCTGTGAACTTCACTGTTACCAATAGCAGTGTAAATTTAGTATATAGTAGTTTATAATCGTAACAATGATTCGAAATCGTGTTTTTGAATCACCAAGATATAAAGCTATAAAACTGATTGTATTGGTAATATCCACGCAAAAATGCTATCCTGTTGACAAGGTTAAATCAAAAATCTTCATTTATCACTCACTATATCGAGTTGGAAAGACTTTTATACTACCATCATTTATGCATCCATTCTCATGTACCACCACTATATAGGGAGTTTCCTTCAATTAGATGTATATGTATATTTCGTTATTTGTAGGGAACGGATCATTTAACTGTAAGCTGGAAGATAGATGACGGAATTATGCAACATATCGATGTTGCCGAAAAAGAAAAATCGAATAATTTTTCACTAGGAAAACTGTTAATTATTGGCGATGAAGAATTTGAAGATCTAGATGAAATTGTGGCACGTCATGTTCAACCCATGGTGTCTCTTGTTCGTGATATAATGACTTATAAGTATTACCGTGATTCTTCGGTAAGTTGGTTTCTTTTACATTTATTCATCGACAAGTGAATATATATTCTGATAATCTTTTGTAGAGGCTTACTTGTGTAGTTGTTCAAAAACCAGGAGACATTCAACAACTACTTTGACTTGGTCTGATATTTCTCATCAATGCTCATCTATCATCTTATGTATTTTTGAACCTAAGGTTTACATATCTGACAATAAATGAGATATTCAGTAACAAACGGAACCGTACAACTTTCTTTTTCCACCCTCAGTCTATTCGCAACATCAAGTGACTTTAATATGTTTTCATGGGAGTAGCTCTGCTTCAGTCTTACGCATATATATATATATATATATATATATATATATATATATATATATATATATCATTAGAATATGTATATAAGTTCCACGTTAAGCTTCTTAAACTTATTATATTTACAATTAAGCGTATATTGTCTCAATCATTACTTCATAATTTTTACGAGTTGTTAAAAGACAAATTTACTAACTTGGATTATTCCATCTACTAATTAGTAGGAATTCATCCATCGCCTTATTTCACCATTTTTGCTTAATGCATTATTTATCAAAATATTGATTGTTAACCGTTACTTCCGTAGTTAGTAATTACTTGCCCCATTTAATTTTATTTACGATTTGAATTATTGGTTGCATGTAAAATCATTGCTTAACCTGTTTAGAGACTGATTTCGCTGTAAATAAAACTTTTAATTAGCTTTCTTGAAATTCAATTTGCGTGAACTCTCGATTTTTGAAGTTTTTGAACTTAGACATTAACCCTATGCATATATATTTTTTATTTTATTTCCAGGGTGGTGACCGTAGTCACCTAAATGCCTTACTTCAACATGAAAAAAGTCTTAATCCTGATCGGATCCCTTATTTTTTGAGCTCAACAAAAGAACGTCCCGGTTATTTTATTCTTGCGTATTTACCTAATAAAAATCCACATTTTGAACTATTCAGTATACGACCTGAAGGTTTCAAGTTTCGCCAGTTAATATTCCCAACTCTCGACCGAATGATTACTTGGTTCAAAGAACATTATAATGATGCTGTAAATTATTATCGCGGTTGAATCAGTTTTCTCTCAAGTCATTTTGTTTCTAGTCTACATTTCTTTAATGATGAATTCAGTTTCATGCAAATCTTTACTTTTCTCAAAATCTTCACTAAATCTTTGTCTATTGTCACTTTTAGTTTTTATTACAAAATATTAACACTTGTAAATATCCTTAAGCCAATTTCTACTGTTATCTTATTGTCTTTTTAGTATATGTATGACTGAATTAAAACGCGTACCAAGGGATTTTAATGGATAACATTAAATATATATTTTTTGATACAAGATGTACAATTAACATTTGTATTTTTCTTTGGAATTGGTAAAGGTTAACTAGTTATTAGAATAGTATGTATCACTTAAACTAATCTGTTTCATGAAGATTAGGTGTTCTCATCATCAAAGGTTGCCAATTGTATTACGAATCCGCGATACATAATCTTCCCTTTTGAGAAGTCTGTTGCAGCTGCCAACATCTCTTCCATTTCTTCTTTTGTAAATGGTTCCCCTAAAAATACAGATTTAGATAACATCTTTACCTGATGAAACCATGTATGATTCGAGAGCTTCAGCACTTAGAAATCCTTTTTTCTCTGGATCGAGGACTAAAAAGGCTTTCAATAATTCTTCTTCAGACACAGGTTCAAATCTATAAATGAGTTGATTTATCAATTATTTATTATTTTACCTTTTTTGTCTCATTGCTTGCATCATCACTGGAAGAAATGTTTCATAATTGATGTAACCATTTGGTGGATCATTTTCTAACTATTTCATCATAGTGCTCTAAGTAGTTCAAAATCTAACCTCACGAACCAGTGATATAATTTCTGCTTCCGTTGGGACACCACCTAATGCTCGGATTACAGTCCCGAGTTCTCTGAAGTCTATCGTTTTGTTGCGTTCATGGTCGAATAGATCAAAAATATCTTTTATTTTTGCCTCCAAATCATCTAAGATAAGAGAAATTTCTTAAGTTATGATGGTAAATGTGATATCAACTTACTTATCCTTAAACACTTCCAACTTTTCTTTGAAACAATTACGTGAATGTTATAAGGTTCAAGTTGTCAAAGCTCTCAATAGTAAGACGAGAATACAATATCAGTTCTGTTGACATAGTCTTTTAGACTAAGATTAATAAGTATCATAAAATGAAATGAATCTTTTTTGTGCTGTGATTTAGATCTTTCGTATGCGCATTAGTTTTATAGATAAAATGCTTTACAATAAATCTTCTTAAAATATTTCAGATTACCGAAAGAACGAATCGTAAGCAGTTGGTAAGATTACATCAGTCTAGTAGGGAAGTTCGTAAAGTAATAAATTACAAAGAAAATATGTGAATTATTATCATCCGGATTTTTTACAAAAATAACTTTCGAGAGGTAGTTGATAGCAAAGATAATGATAGTTTAGAGTGGTTTTGAGACAGTGAGAAAGCAATCCTTTGGTCCACCTTAGAAGTTATGATATCATTTTACTGAATACTTAATCGTGGAATCGTGTCACAGGTTTTATAAATTATTTAGTCAATAATATTCTTCTGATATGTAAGTTTTTCAAAAACTGGTGAATAACTTAGTCGAAAATACATCTCATTATGTGTACCTTTAGCTTATTTGTTTAATGATTATATATGAATACAACAGGCACATTCATCAAATAGTTCAGTCTGTACATGTTTTGTACTCATGTTAAGAAACGATGTCGAAAAAGGAACTTGATGCATTCCAAAATTTCAAACACTTTATTCTAATGAAATTCAGATTTCACCAATCTTCATACAGAGACATACGCAAGCATAGCTAATTATACACCAAGAGATTGTATTTTATTAAACTTTTGGTATTTGCGCAACAACTATTGTAATCCCACGCTGATGAAATAGTGACAATAACACTCTTTTCATTACTACTATGTGATTCATATATGCATTTTAAGTCACGAAAACTACCATTTGTACAACTTAGTGCTGGTTTAAAATTCATTTGGAGTGAATCCAGTATAGATATTTTCCTTAGTAAGGAACGATTTGTATTTCTTTTTGTCACATTGCAAGCTTTCCTTTAGTGAGTGGTTTGCGTCCCAAGAACATTGGTGTCACACTGTGAGTATGAACGGATGTTGATACTGACAATTGTTTTGAAATCGCTTAACAGAAATGTTAGAAACTCCCAGCGTTTATGTTGGAATGAAGTTTAATTCCTTGCGGTTATGTTGGTGCATGCTGAATACTAAGCTTACATTAGCATAATTTATCAGTTCTAGTTTTGTGATAAAAGTTATAGGAACTTCGGTGTACATGATCACGCATTTTAAGTTACGTACTAATTACAACACAAAAAGTTCCGATTTTTATTATTGAGCCAGTGGTTCACGAGAGATTTTTTCAAGTAGTCTGATCGTACATGAACAGGTACTTTCTAGTACCATCTTTTCAAAGCACCCAGTTGCTACTGAACACTGGAAATAAAGGGAAGTGTTATAAGTACATGAATGTTTGACTAGCAAAGCATTACCGGCTCAAAATTATTAAAACGCTTAATGATGATAATTTGGCGATACAATTGTCGCCTTATCTTGAGAAGTCGTTAGAATTTGACTACAGTCCATCATGAATTGGTACTGGAAATATCCCTAACGTGCTCTGGGTTACAAATGAGGCCTTTAACATAAACCAAAATCTCTAGTTGCTAGTGGGTCTGTATCGCGAGATAATTGGGTTTTCGAACGCACCAATGAACTTATAATCAAATTCTAAATCAGTTGACAGACAATAATGGGCTTTATCAACTTGATGAAAAATCATGATTTTATGATAAACCGAAACGACTTCTCGAAATGAGTTGATTTATGACTTACTTCTCTAACTCCTTTCGAAGTAATAAAGAAATTTGCTTGAAATATTGCTTTTCACATAATTTATACTACTTTTGGAAATATAACTGTAGATGATGTACATATAAATACTACACAACTTTTTTTCCAAAACACGGGTTAAAAACAACAAATTGTCCGAATATACAGTGAAGTATAGTATCCTTTGCCTCGGATATTTTCGCTTTTGGGCTATTTTCACCTATTTCGCCTATCATAATATGGGTTTCTTAAAATTACTCCCTGAGTATAACGAAAAGTCATCCAGGTCTGTTGGTGAGTGAAATATCACGGTCATATTTCAATAAACCATCCACGTAAAACATCTGAAGCACCAAAAACTCCGAAAATGTTATTATATTTAGTGATAATATTACCTTCATTACTAAAAAAGAGCATCTAATTTCAGTATGTGTATCGTTTTACGGATGCAGTAGTAAAGAACAAAGCTAGACTTCTGTCAGATGACAAGACTTCAAACTATCTCCCGTTAGATCTGTCGTAACATACAAATATTTTTCAAAGTCTGCACCATTTATAAAACTTATATGACACATGTGGAATAATTGGAAATCTCACTTTTACATAAATATGGCAATAGAGTAATCATTAAAAATGGCAGTAAAGCCATCTAGTTCAGAGTATCTAACATAACCGTTTGAAGTTTGATGGCGAGGAGGGCGAATAATCCCAGGTTTTAAGTCTGCGTGTAATTTACGGAGACACTTGTCTCTATGTAGAGAAGTATAACTCCTGATAGATTCCGAAACTGAAGAGTGAAGGCACTAGTCAATAATGGAGGGAACGGGACCAAGAGGAATCCCACTTATCATATAGAATACCAAAGTAAGCTCAGATATCTTCTTCGGAAAATTTGGTAAGAGCTACCATTGCGTTGTAATAGTAGTAGTCGTCGTCGTAGTGGTATTATTGGCAGAAATTGGCTCTACCGTTTATTCAAATAGGGAATTCTACAACCTGTAGGTCGTAATCACTGTAGTGATTATATATAGTCACTAGTCCGCAATTCAAGTAAATAAAACTTTACAACGGTTTTTCTATTGTCTTTCTTGTTTTTTATTGCAGAATAGTGTCTCAAGATGTGGTTTAAAACTGCATACTCTAAATGTTTTATCATAGAAAAGGACTATTATCTAAGCCTATGATGTAAATTAAGGGTTTTCTCACAAATTTGTTTTTTTGTTTCTGTTCTCCGAACTTATCCCGAGAGATAATAATTTCAAGGTAAGTAATACGAAGTAAGAGCTGGGGTGAACTCCTAAAACAGTTCCGATTATTCACCAATTGATTGGTTATAGCTTTCAATACGATTGGTTAAATAGGTGCAGAGAAATGTTATGTTCTGTGTTAGTCTAAGTACCTTCTCGAGTTTCCGATTGCTCAGCCATTCAAAACGTCGGCAAAGAGTGCTCTATGGTAACAGTCCAATATCCAATATGATTTTCGCTAGTTGGTATAAACCGATCGATTTCCTTGTGCTCGTTTCCTGTTGTTTCGGTAAGGTTGCAGGCATTTGGTTATGTCCAATGCACGGTAGTCTAGCCACTCAATTGTTAGCTGATTATGAATTTGTGTCCGGTGATTTGAGTGAGTGCGTTTGTCTATGGGTGGTGGGGCTTCTGGACACCAGCTGCCATCACAACACCTGGTTGGCGATCAGTTAGTTCCACTGTGGAAGATAAAAGTGGTGATTTCAATGGCAATCAAGAAAATTCATAACTTAGTAAATAAAGAGGTTAATTAATTTGTAGTGAAATCGTGTGCGAGGATAGAAGTATAAACAAAGAAGAGGAAACAGAGAAGTTAAACGAGATGGGACGAGTTGACCATCTGAGACAGTGATATTATTAGAAACAAGCAACTTTTAGAACATGGATTAGGCACTGCCTGTCAAAGTGTGGGGTGATGACCTGTAAATCTGTCTTCGTAAGGTTTATTCTTTACCTCGATCATTCATTTACTTGCTCTTTTCATCTCATTTAGGGAGTGGGATGCATTGATATTATGAACTTTAGGGTGTGGTGTTACATATGTTTTTGAAGAGCTAAGAACAATTGTGAGGGGATTGCACCAAGCTGTGTTCTCATACAAAGTTTCGTTAACCTTGGCTGCATCGTTTACGTAGTTTGAAGTGTTATTAACTTTCTCTGTGGTTGTTAGAACGAGACTGCGTTCTGAGATATTTGGAGCGGACTCCCATGGAGGAGGCAAGTTGTTAGTGTCACTTGAGATAGAATATTCGATATATGAAACTCCGACCGGTGAAGTTTTACCCTACTCTCTACTTCCATTTCTCTATTGTCGTAAGGTCATTTAGAAGCCCAAGTGAATCATCTTCTTTTTTATGGGCGTCAAAAAATTTGCATCATCTCTATTAATTAATACCGTAGAGTTATTAATAAATAACAGGATGAGGAGTGATCCTAAGACGGTCCTCCGTGAAAGTCATGATGTTGGGACCAGCCAGCTCATATGCAGTCCATTTACCGTGGTTCAAAACTCTCTGTTCTGAGAGTGGAAGACTTGGATCAGCGAAGCATATTTTTTCAGCCTTAGCAATTATTATTACACGAGGTACTGTGTCGAAAACGTTGGGGAAATCAAGGAACATCATATGAACCGGTATCTTATCGTCCAATAAGGTTGTCCCATGCTATGAGATTGTCGGTGCGTGACCTGCTTTCCTGAACCTGTGCTGCGCTTCAGGGAGAATATCTTTTGCCTGTTCACTTGTTTATTTACCAGTGCCTCCATTGAATTCGATCCAGATGCTTTTGCAATAATCTTGTTACCATTAGATTTAAAGCTTCTGATATCTTAATTATGAGGACTTAGTTTGAAGATATAAGCTTAATAATTTATATAATCTTAAAACGGTAACAAATTTAAAGTCCTGCATATCCATATGGCTAGATTCTGATATTCTTTCAGGTTCAGAACTGCAGCTCATTTAGTGTACTACCTAACGGCAGCATAATATGGGTATCATTACGGCAGATTTTGTCAGGTACTGATAATAAGATTTCATTAGCTATTGGTACCTAAGATCAGAAATTAGTTCTGGCTAGATTATAAGACTTATGGACAGCCTAGACAATCGAAGAACCAAATAACTTTGCGACACTCTGAATGCATCGATGCAGCTGTATTTTCGCCTTTAATCCAAAGCTTTCGGATCCCATGTAACCTTTGGCAGATTAAAATTTTCTTCAGCACTTTTATGCTTGTCGGATTGAAGAGTAACGAGGAAAAAGGTGTTTTCAAACAATATATCAAAATTGATATCTGCATGTGATGGTCAACATATACTGCACACAAGTAGTCAGTTTTACGCCTAACGAATAATAGTGATTATTATTATTATTATTTCTCAAATAACATGTTACAAAAGGCATGCCAGTTTACAAGCAAGATCGAATTGTTAAAATTGTCAGAATATGTGCTTTAAAACGTTCAATAACGTAAATATTTCTCAAAATACACTGATTTATTATAAATGACCAAATTGTTTTACATAAAATTATAGGTAACTATTCAGACTCTGAAATTTACAAAACGACCGCTGGGGTGATTTATTGTAATCACGGTGCAATGAAAAACGAGTGGTTAGGACCATTTCAAGGTTAATCCATGTCTACATTTAAAAGAAATGGACGAGGAATAAGTACGAAAATCTTCTGGATGAGATTCGTCAGATAAAAATAGATAGGCTCCTAGGCAAAGTAACCAAGTCATAGACAATATCAATGCTTTTATTTAAGCTGTTGAATGTGGTGCTGAAAAGATGAAAGAAATTAAAAGGTATGGGAAGGACGATAGAAAATATTCGTTCTTAGAACTGAGTCATCAGTCAACAGATACTTTGTTGAAAAAACATTTAAGGTATACTTTCTCAGACCTTCCTTTATCTGCATCAGATATTTCACTGCACAGCTGCATTTGTGTAGCTGAATGAAAACTATCCACTAATAAGATAACGAATGGGCGAAAAATCTTATGAGTGGAGTAAACTCAAAAGATTTAATTTGTTAGACATTATGTTGATTTACGCTATATAATGACGAAGGCACAGTAATTTCATGCTTTTGTGATATTTCGTTGACATTTCTTGACAGTGTAACTCAACAAGTCACTAGTGAGCTCTTTTTCAACATGATTATCTGAATTTGCCCGCAATAGGATTTGTACGTAGTAAATGGAACCAGTGTAAGGTTACAAACATGAGTCATAGAAGCGGTCGATATAGATAAGTACCATCTTATCATCGATTAGTTACATCCTCTCATATCGCACATAGTCTTAAGCAAACGAATTGCTCTGCCCTAGACATGGATGGATTGAGGTTATCGCCACACCGTCATGAATGCTGGTGAGATACACAACCCTCCCTCTTTTTCTGATGTTAGCGTCTGATTATTATTTTGGTTTAAGCTCTATTTTTGCACTCGTAGGAATACACTGCCTCACTTAGTTCTCGAATTCAAGCAAATCAGACGGAATTAGCCTTTTCACGGCAGATTATATACAGGTAGTATATCACACTGATATTAAGTTAACTAATAATAAATTCATAGCTATAGATCATTTGATAGGTAGTCTGAAGATAAGAAGGGCTGATTAAAAAATATGAAAATAGTGTTATAAATTCATGAGTAGGACCATAAATAGGTTAGAGAGCAAGATGTTTGGATATTGACTAATTTTGGCAAGAGAATTTTATTACACAGTTAACCTATGAACAAGGAGGAACTGACAGTGATAAAGGAAGTTTGGGTGGCTCGTAATTCACAGTAGTGGAGCAGCGTCTACAGGCTTTTCAGTTTGTCTGTCCACTATAAATAAAAACTAAAAGTGCGGTAGAAGATAAGAAAATAAGGATGCGAAATTAAATTTCAAGAGAAGTCCAAATGTCACCTCAAAGTCGCAACCTTTTCACTGTTAGTAGGAGTAGGGGGCCTCATCTATTATTTCGTGATAACAGTATGGATGGTAACGACGGAGACATATTCATGGTTTGTGATTAGTTTCTGAGGTTTATCTAAATATTTGGTGAACTATAAAAGAGTGCCTCGGGACATGTGAATGAGTTCCGGGAATAGTTAGTAAATCTATTTAGAGTCTAACAACAACATTACTAGTTTCTTGAACTTGGTGATTGTGTCACAAATAGGGGTTGTAATTGGCAATCTGTTCTACAAAGAAATTACAACGCAATGATGTTTTGTGTCTTTCAGTTAATAGTGCATATGCTTTTTTCTGAGTTTGTAAGAAGTGGCGTGGTTCATTATTGGGCGGTATTTTACAAACAAAAGACCATATATTATTTTATAGAGGAGTATAAGGTTGTTCTTCAAACGACGGCGTCATAGTGGTTCTACGGAAAGATCTTTGCATCCTTCTGTGTAGTCCAGTGTATGGTTCCAACCTAGTAGTCGCCGTCTGAAGCTTCTTTGGATATTTTCTGCTCATATCTAGTATATGATATTCATGTTTGAAAACAAAACTGAGCATTATTATTATTATTATTCAAGTAAGGGCCTTATACACATTTTGAAGAGCGTAAGCTTGGCACCATTTGTCAAGAAGTTCTTAGTTATAAGACTCATTAGACGCATAGATTTAGAAATAAAAGAAGAGGCATGTTCTACACATTCTAGTCTTCTGGAGTAATGAGTGCTCAGATCATACGCTGATTTGAGTGTCCGAACCCTACATTTTTATAAGTAGAGTGATATGTTTTGGTGATGCTTACTGAAACACATGATGCCACATATGTTGTGGTCAAACGGTAGCTGACATGTTTCGCTCCAGGCAGATTTAAAAAAAAATATGTTGCTAATCTTAACATTTTGATCTCGCCTGTAAATTGGCATGTCTCTTGTAACATGTTTGTTATTTGAGAATAAATTATTATTATTATTATAAGTTGTAAAGGTCGTTGGTTACTGATTCCATATGACCTTATTTTGAGGATAAGCCTTCTGTGTGGGACCTTATCAAAAGCTTTCTTAAGGCCAAAGTGAACGACTGATAATAGAAGCCCTTAGTCTTGTTTCTTAGTAATATCATTTAGTCAATTTAGCAGGCATGTATCGCTTTACCTGAACCTCAAGAACCCATACGGTGTGGTCGATATCAGATTGTTACTATGTAGGTGTTGTATTACCGCTTTTACTACTTTCTCAATCAATCTAGATGTGACTGATGTAAAGTTAATGGGTCGGTAATTTTTAAAACTGTCTGTATGCCCAGATTTGATTGTGAGGATGACATGTGTAGTCTTCTAGTTATTAGGTAACACTTTTTAGGGAGTGATATAGTATATAGTTTAAGAAGAATGACATACAGATCATTGCTGGCTGAGATACCATCTGATCCTTCATTCTAAGAGTGTTTCAGTGTACCAA